ATATCATAATTTTGTGAGCCCTTGTTTACCAGTACTCTGTAGTGGCACCTTTGGAGCTATTCTGGCTGACCAAATAAATCACTTTGGTGCAATAAAACTAATACATATATAAAAATGTAGGTAGATGTTTTCTGATTTTCCATTAATAAAAGTGTTAGTTCAAAATTCATGCCCACAAGTCTGACAATAATTGCCAAAAAGCAAACATGGCTCAACACTAAAAAAGTCAAACTGGTATAAATAATATTAATCTACAAATTTGTGTTTGAATTAGCTTTAATTCTTGAACAGCCTAACCCTGCCTTCTGCTTAATTTTACAGTGAAATTATAATAGTGTTCTTGTCTGTCATAAAACTGATTAAGCTCCAGCATCAAGTAGGGAAAACAGCACACTGGAAAACAGGAATCGCTGTCTATATTAAGCATAGTAGAGTTTTAATCCTGGCTCCTACATTTACTCATTAGTTGATGTTGAGTAATTTACCCTCTCTGTCTTAGTGTCCCCCATCTATGTTTGCATACCTCACAGGGGTGGTGTGGAGGTTAGTTAGTTAATGCTTGTACAGTGCTCTGAACATGTAAACCGCTAAGGTTTATAATTATGGAGAAACTCCTTTAATCCTTACTGAAACCTAATGCAGCAGTTTTTAGAAAGTTAGAATTTTTTAAACATTGAAAACAAGTAGCACATTTTAAAATAAGTCCCATCCTGTATATTTCACTTGTATATCCACCTATACAACACCTTATGTAGGGGCTGGGGATTAGTTATTGTTTAAGAACTTTACAAATAAAGAGTGCTTTACAGCAACAATTAACATTTATAAGGAAAATTCCTCTTTAAAAAGTGCATTTTGAAGCCTCAGACAATAAGAACTACTAGGTAGGAAACCAACTCAAACTTTGCTATGGTTTCGCTGGCTGCCTGCCTGCCTTGCTAGAACACTTCTGAAGGGGCTCTAATGACCACAAGACCACAAAGCAGTGGAAATGCTGCATTTCAGCTGCACCAGAGGGTTAGGACCTCGAGCACCCCACCACAAAGGGAATCTCCCCAGTCACCTACCCATCATAGAGACGCCCAAGGCAAGAGGAGAATGGACTTGAGGAGTAGCCAGCAGATTTACACACTGTGGGAGCCCATATAGAAAAGTAGTAACAGTGCTAATATTTGATTCATAATACATTAACAATATTTTAAAAGAAAATAGTTTGGCCACTATCTTTTCTTAAATACTTCAGTGGCACTAAGGTAACATTATGGAGAAATGTCTTTAAAAAATTAAAAGGAAAGTGTTTTTCAGTTGCTTTAGGCTAACAAAAACATCTTCAACTTCCATTTATTTATTTTTGCTCCCATAAAATTGGTAGATGCTTTTAATTGTTAAATGTTGTAATTAATTATATGCAGTCTTATTAAACCCTCAAAGTAAGTAATTTTAATGGAAATGTCACTACAATTTCAAGCACAACTCCATATGGTAGGAGGGATACAAGTACCACTCAGTGTTACTGAAAGTGACCTGTACTTACTTTTTTTTAAAAACACTGAAATTAGCTTTTGAAAGTTAATATTGGGGCAGGGCTGGGGGAAATCAACTGTGATGCCACATTCTAATCAGCATTCAAATCAGAGTATGGGACGAAGGAACACTCACACCAATGAGTGTGACATTGCAGTACTATATAAGCCTGTGTAGGGATTCATATGCCATATACCCACTTAACTGCGAGAGGAAGGGGAAAGGTTTATAAACAGTGTGTGTTTGGGATACCTTTATATTATGCCAACCCTTACGACGCCCGAACAGTGCACAAAGAAGAAATGCACTAACAACAGATTCACAACAATGCAAGTAGGAGCTTCAAGCCAACTTTGTATACACCACTTCCCTGACCAACACTCTGCATTCTGGGTGCACCTCAGCATCTAGCCTTATATATTTTCAATCACTGTAGTCCTTATGCAAACATTTTCCTTCTAATTAACTGCTGCCCGCAATTTCCTCACCTGTATCTCAATTTCTCAGCCCTTTTCCACCCGGCCCCCACTCAGAACTCCAAGTGTCATGCTGTGACAACATGAATGGAAGTTTTAAATGTCCCTGAAGCACAGCAAAACATTTCATCACAAGACTTAAAGGCTGCCTTAAAAGTTATCTAAAAGGAGTTAAACTTGACAGGTCTATCTTAGTATGGGGCAGAGCTTAAGCCATCCCCAATGGGCAAGGACAAATGTGTGGAAACAAAGATTGAGGAGACTGGAGTATGTAGAACCACAGTTTGGATAGGGGGTAAGAATCTGAGGTAGCTGTGTTTGTTGTGGTCATGTGGCTGGGAAATTTTGAGGACAGTAGCCAGAATACAGAGATATTTATTGTTGCCAAGGAAAGTATGTTTCCAACTAGAAGATATTCCCTTTTAACTGGATAATGACAATAGCCTGAGGTAATAAACTGTGAGACCTCTGATTCTGAATTGTTTTTCTTTTAGCTGAGTATATGGTTACCATTTAATAAGCAGGAAGGACCCTCAACTTAATCATCTAAGGGCCAATGAAGTTATCTGGTATAGGATGTATGTAACAAATGGCAGAATTTGTCTAAAAATATTTTGGATGTTTGTGAAGAACCTATGAACTACGGATGGCTACTGCAGCAAAAAAAGGCTAAAAAGACTAATTCGAGAAAGAGGTCAAAAAGAAAAGTCAAGTAGTGGATCATTATATGAAGAGGCACCAACCCTTTCTAAAAAGTAAAGTACTAGATGTCACTGTTGCCTAGAATTCTTGCAATTTCAATTAGATACATATTAACCTCCCATTTCAAAGAGCAGTGCAGTGTTCCTATATGCTGTTGAATGACAACCACTTTTCAGTCTAGTGGTGAATGAAATAATTCTTCTAGTTTACTTAACTGCAATTGCCTGTGAACTTTAAGTCTTGAGATTTTCATAACTTCTGCTTTAAGTGGCTTTCCACTGCTCAGTTTTCTCTACATTTCTTCTTTGGATCTGAAACTCTGTCCTTGGCCTCAATTCATGTATAACTTTTTCAAAAAGTTTAAGGAAAATCTCTTTGTTTAATTACTGAAGTGTTTAAAAGATGACTTAGTATTTCCCTGCCCTCCATGAAAGGCTATAACAATTGTGATCCTTTTGAGCATGCTCAGAACATTTCCTTTTCTTTTTTCTTAAGCAGAGCCCAATTTTGACAAAACATTTTTGATAGCTGTACCCTTTGTGTAGCAACAGCAATGCCCCTTACAGTATACTGTTGCCCAGCATGGCCTCACCGGTCTAAGGACTGTTGCTGGAATACTTAAGAAGGGAGATTATAAGCATAGGATTGAAATGGTGTGGGTTATGGGCCTGAACATATAGTCATTCCTATGGGGAGTCCCACTGAAGTCATAAGCCTCTTATTTATGCACCTAAATAAGGACTTGGGGCCAACATTTGAAAATGATTGACTAAGGCTTTATTAGGAACACAGAAAAGGAAAAACTTGTTTCAAATGTTTCAAAAATTAAATATTTAATTGTCATTCTTAATGCACATGTGCATGGGCAATTTATTTTCTCCATTCCCCCGCTCTCCTTTAACAAAAATTAAAAACGGGAAGGAAACAAATGCCAAGTTTCTCAGAATATCATTAAATCACCATTGCACAGACAGGGTTTGACAGTGCAAGCGCAAATGCACAGGCATGACTTTACTCACTTGAATAGTCCTGTTAATTCAGTGTATGCAAATTAGCGCCACTAAAATTGTGGAAGATGTTCTCTGAACATGCTCAGAAGTGAGCACATATTTTAAAAAAAAACAAACCTATGTTTAAAATATAACATATGAACGATGGCCCTGATCATACAGTTTGAGCCAGATGGGAGGATCCATGCACCTGTGCAGAACCCCACTGAATCCCCAGGTGCTCCGCCCGGTGCAGGCCCATCTGCTTGGATCTGACTGAAGGATCAAGGCCAATGTATGTATTTTATTTATACATATATGCCTGTTAGAATGACACTAACTTTACATACAACAGTTAACTGACTAGTTAGAGAGCTCTGGAAACCTTGGGGCAAGCAGGGGGGAAGGCAGTGATCTCCTACATAAATCTGAATTACTATTACTGACTTGTAAATGAGTAACAACTCTAATATTCTGTTTGCGCGCCATGAGACTTTAGTCCTGAAACTATATGCCAATGGAAACATTTTAGAAAGTATTTCCTAATTCTATGATTTGCCACAAAGTAGCTGATTTTAAAGCTAACTTGCTGATAATTCTGTCATTGCCAAAGCTGATACAGTAACTACCAAATTCTATTCCCACGATTTTTAAGTACAAGATCAATTTCTCCCCTCAGGCACTAAAAACTTCTTGGAATAATAAAATAAACATTTAAGCTAGAGAAACAGCCAGAAGGTGATCGTTTCAAGAGTAAAACAATAATTCTTTGTGTGTAGTGTGTAACTGACTCAGTGGTAGAAAGGCTGGTTTTTACAGAAATATTCAGGGTTCATGGTCTTCCATGTACATAACTTAGCACTTAATGTCTGATTCTTCTCTCATATAGCTAATAAGAACATCAAGAGTTCCCGTTCATAGGATAAAAAATAGTACAAGAAATAGAACCTTCATACTTCAGGGCATAGGCCGACAAAAACAACTATGAAAAACTTCCTCTAGGGTCAGGTTATTCCATAATGAGGTTTCTTACACCTTTATCTGAAGAGTCTGGGCTGTTCACAGCTAAAAATACATTATCCTGCATAAGATGGACCAATGCCCTGACTGGAATTGGCAATTCCTATATTCCCACCGGTTTTGGAACACTGTCAACTCAATGACCAGTACAGTTACTTCTGATTTATACCAGTTTGAGAGGGGAATCAGGCCCTACCTTCTCAAAACTCTATATAAATGTTAAAATGGGTGTGAATTATCATTCCCAATTTACACCTGGGAAAATAGGCACACAAGTTAAATGACTTACCTAAATTCTTGTAATGACACCATAAAACAGAGTAAGTAACACCCTGTTAAACAGAAATGTCTGGTGATTAAATTCCTGTATAATGTCTCTTTAAACAAAAGCTACCTGTTGTAATTATTATTTTGTTTCTGACATTTACCTGGCAAAGATTTGTAAACTTTTTAAAACTAACTAAATAAATGGCTTAAAAATGACTTGCCTAAGTGTCAAAATCAGGATTAGAACTCAGGAGGTTCTCACTCCTAGTCCTACACTCATTCCACTAGACACACTGTCATGTTTACTGCACTCATTGAAGGCAGACTCTGCAAAACTCTAGAGTCATTTAAAAATAAATTCATTCATAATGTACAACTTGGCAGGCTCTCTAAGACACTGACATAGTGATGTGAATATTTTAAATAAATCATCTCACATTTAAATGCTTGACGCAGCAATACCAAGTTTTACAGGGGCTAGAATATGTGGCCCTGATCCCTCATGGCCCTGCACCTTGTGAAGTTGTTTACACCAATGCACAGCAGATGAAAACCATTCTGATTTGGTAGAATACTACACCCACTTGCAATGGTGTAAATGAATCCAAGGTGCAGGATAAGAGAATCAGGCCCTGTATGTATAATGGGGGTCTAACTTTTTTGTAGTAGAAGTGAGAGGAGCTTCTTATTTCATTCTCCTTAGGTGCAGTATGATAATTTTCATCTATTAGAAGTTATTGCTGTTATAAGTTCCAGATGTGCCAGGCTCCTCAATTCCCAGGTTGAGATTTCGAACCACAAAACGTCAAGTGCACAGCAGTAAACAGTGTCCTGGGCAGATGATAAAAGCTATTCCTAAAATCAAAGACACAATGACGTTGTGGCAGGAAATTCAAACAGGGGCGATGACACCACGAAGGGCTGTCCAGTGGCAAAACCTCCCCTGGCGAATTGTCTCCCTCTCTCTTTTGGAAACCAAGCCGCGCAGGTCGTTGTCACACGGAGGCGGGACCCTCTCGGTCTGAGCGCAGCTCAAAGCGGAGAGAAGATTAGCTGGCTTGGCCTGCCCATCACCTCCCCTTTCCCGCGGCCCCATTTGCCTGGGGGGGGGGATGATGTGATCCGGGGGCCGCGATGCCAAAAGCCGCCAGGAAAGGTGACACCCCCCCTCCCACCCCCCCAGGTGCGCGGCAGCCGCTCAGGGCGCGGGGCCGGGGGCTGAACCTCACCACACGTTCCTCCCCGCAGGCAGGCACCACAAAACCCTACCCCCGCCGCCAGCGGCCTGCGCCGCCCGCCCCCTCCGCGCCGGGGAGCCGCAGCCAGCGGGCGGGCTGGGGGGGGGGGGCGCCCCTGTCCCCCCGCGCAGGGGGCGATTTGTTTTTAACCGGTCCGGCCTTCAACCGACCCTCCCTCCCCGCCCGGCCTCACCTGCCAGCGCCAGGATCTGGGCCTTGTGCAGCAGCAGGCGGTCGCCCCAGTCGCCGGAGCTCTCGTCCTCGTCCTCCGCCTCGCGCGGGTTGCGGTACACCGTGTAGACCTTCTGGTTGTCGAAGTCGAGGCGGGACGTGGGGCTGAAGTCCCGCACGCACGAGACGGGCAGCGCATAGCAGACGTTGTCCTCCAGGAACCGCACAAAGGCGTACATGGCGCGCGCGGGGGGGGGCGGCGGCGGCGCCGGGCCCCTCGCCGCCTGCACTGTTATTGTTCCTGAAAGCGCGCCTCGGCGCTCGGCTGAGCGCGCCTGGGCGCCCCGCCGCTGGGGCCGAGCGAGCGAGCGGGCGGGCCCGGGCTCCAGGCAGACCGGAGCAATCCAACGCAGAGCGGAGGCAAGCCCGGCTGGAGCGCGGCGCTCGTTCCCTGCGAAGGGCTGCGGCGCGAGCCGAGCCAGGGCGCTCCAGCCTGCCCCAGTTGCCGCTCCGCGTGCATGGCCGCCGCCTCTGCCCCACGGAGCGCCCAGCTCACGCCTCCTTCGGGGAGAGCGGTGCGTGAAAACCCCGGCCACACGGCCGCGGCGGCCGCCCCTGGGCAGGGACACGCCGTAGTGCGGACTGACTCCCGGTGCTGGCCCATGGCAAGGAGTCCCACCCGGGCCTGCAGAAGAGCTCGGGGTGGCTCCAAAGCCTGTCTCTCGCACCAACATAAAGGGGTCCGATAAACATGCTACCTCGTCCAGCTCGTCTCTGCTGAGACTCCGTTATGACCGATTTATGTTACACTCAATATTGGGGCTTAGTTAGGCCCCTGAAGAGGATTCCCCCAAAGTCAGTGGTTGCTCCCCAGGATTAAGAACAATCCATCACAACATTAATTTGGACTCAATGGAAAAACAGAGTTTACATTTAAGGTCTGTTTTTCTCAGAGCTGAGGGTACTTAATTCCCTGTCTTCACATGAAGAAAAGGAGTACTTGTGGCACCTTAGAGACTAACCAATTTATTTGAGCATGAGCTTTCGTAGCTCACGAAAGCTCATGCTCAAATAAATTGGTTAGTCTCTAAGGTGCCACAAGTACTCCTTTTCTTTTTGCGAATACAGACTAACACGGCTGTTCCTCTGAAACCTGTCTTCACATGGAATCAGGGACAGTCAAGTCTGTTTGAATATCAAGCCTTTAAACCTAGGCTCTGTAACCTAGTTTCAGGAGTTTGCTTGTGTTATTCATCTCCCGTTTTGGCCCAGAGAAGGGGGCTAATGGGAGAGGGTCTTCTCTTCTCCTCTCCTGGAAGAGTAGGACCTGGCTGACTGCAGCTGAAAAGCCTCCCCCCGCTGCCTGAGCCAAGATGATACAACTGTGTGCCCTAGGCAGGAACTAGGAGCAGTGGCCCCCTGCCCACAGTAACAAACAGTGGAGATAAATTACCAAAATTCCTAGCAGCCAAATAGGCAGAACATATCCTACCATAATCACATGGCAAACCTAATGATACTATTCTATTTACCCTTTTTTTTTTTTTTTTGGCTCCCAAGTCCCTCGAAGATGGAGACACCTTCCTATCCTACAGCATTGCCCATTGGTTATGGGTAGAAAAACCCATGGCCCCTGCTGACTCCTTATCAAAGGTGAAATGAGCTACTCAGAGAAAACAAGGGGGACTACCAAGTCTCCTCCTCCAAAGAGGACAGCAGGATGGAGAGGGGTTGTGTGAAATCAAAGGGCTGAAAGACTTTCTGGCGTCTACCATAGGTTTGGAAAAGATCCGAGCTTCTGGATACTTATCCAAAGTGAACTGTGAATATTTTGGAGTTCACGCCCATGTGATGTGTTCACTTGCATGCTCTCTAGGTGGTACTCCCCTCCATTTTAGAAGCGGGGCAAGAATTATTTCAAGTGGATTATATTCAGTTCTGAGAGTCATCTGTGAATAGGAATAACTTGAGAAGTTTAACATGCAGCATATGAATCCTAAAAACAAGGGTCACTAGTTTTTAGTCTTACAAAATGCAACACAAATATAACCAAACAAAGACAACCATGGTAGAAATTTTGTCCATATCTATATAAAGTACATAAAAAGACCAGGAATAAACTTAACAGACAATGAAGACATATCAAACTGATAGCTACATGCATTTTACAACAGCTGTAAACTTCTATACTATACTAATGGGAGATTTATTACTTGAATGTGGACAAAGTCTTCTGTATCCTCCATTTAAGGTTTGGGATTTCAAATGCCACTACTTTATATTAACAAGCAGTGGAGCATCACCAGGCTGGTGTGTAATTTAATGTCAAATTAAGTCCACTAAAAGGCATAAATGAGAAATATAATCTAGCATTTGGGCTGCAAGGGAAATGAAATCTCAACAAAGATTGTGTTGCTGATCAAACAATAACAGCTGCTGTAGTGATTGTATCTCGTTACAATAGAAGTAGGAAGAGCTGCAGAAATAAACAACAGGACAAATTGATGCTTGGTGTTATTCCACTGGCTTCATTGGGGTACACCAAGGAGAAATTTGTCCCACACAGTTCAGTGGCTTGTGAAGGATTCGGTACACTGAATCTTATTGGGATTGTATTTCCATTGCAGCTGAAATCTATTTGAAATATCAACTACTACTGGACAGGGAAAGAAAAAAGGAGGAAAATGGAGAGGTAGTAGGTAACAGGAGGAAAGAAATTGGAGATATGGGAAAGGGGATAATAGGGTTGAGTATTGGGAATAAAATTAGATGTCAGGAAGGCCTGGACAATTTGTCCTAAGGTAGGAAAACTGAAAGAAACCATGAAAATAGGTAAAAAGGATAACACTTCACATTTCCATTAGCATTAGAGCAACTTTTAGAGTCCATTGGTCTTAGAAACATTTTAAAGAGACTATAAGCTGCAACATTTTACACTCCAAGGTCCAATTATGGCACAGGCTGCATAAATACATCCAAGAGAAATCCCCTGGTTGGCAGCAGAAATGGTTTCAAACCCTTTGGAAAAAGAAAAGGAGTACTTGTGGCACCTTAGTGACTAACAAATTTATTTGAAAGCTTATGCTTAAATAAATTTGTTAGTCTCTAAGGTGCCACAAGTACTCCTTTTCTTTTTGCGGATACAGACTAACACGGATGCTACTCTGAAACCCTTTGGAGAGGCTGCTCCACAATCCTCTGTAGACAGAGGGGCATTCCAAGTGACAGAATCAAGATGATGGGCTGCATGTTTACACATCCACCTGGTCCCAACCACATACATTATACCAGTAGAAGACATTATACTACTAAATAATTATTCTCCTAAAGGAAATGGATACTTTGCATTTCTGTTCCTTCTAGGAGGAAGATGGTTATTGGGCTCGATGCAGGAATTATTGGGTGAAATGCTGTTGTCTGTATTATGCAGAAGATCAAACTATGGTAGATCATCATAATGACCTTAAAAGTCAATGAACAATCTGCATTAGATAAGGTGAAGAATTAGCTGAATAGAGGAATCACTTAGAGACAGAATACAGAAGTGCATCAGTCCTCCTTTTATTGTGCCTCTGTGCACCAGTTTCATACTGGATATAAATCTCCATAGAGGCCAGAGTTTGGCCACTGCTATTTTAGAAGGATAAAATCTCAGCATAAAGCTTACAGATGTTCCATTGTCCTTGAAAGGGCATGGTTTTTAAACTCTTAGAAGGGAGCAACTGGTTTCTCACTATAAGTGAGATTTTCAACTTCCAACAAATTCATCCCTTTGTCTTAATTATGTACTTCTTTAGAATGACTGTCTGCTGAAAAACACTGTTGCATTGTTAAAATAAAAAATGAACCCACAGATCAAAAAGTCTTACTCCAAGAGTCAGGAAACCACAAAGTCCCAGCCCTTCCGGAACTTGTGAACTGTTATTTCCTGGAACTCTTTATACCTGTATTTTACTGCTGTTAATTCTGCTGAAGCATTAAAGCCAAAGATAGAGTCTGCTGTTCTGATGTGCATACCATGTGTTTCACTTAAGGATGCATGATGAAAAGTCAATAGTACTAAGCAAACAATAGTAACCCAGGCATCCAAATCTCTTTTTGCCAACAAAGCAATGAAATCAGGCTCAGTAAGGTGATCTCCATGTTCAGTGCCAAACCACATATCAAGGGAGGCTATATTGATCTCTTGTCTCCTGGTGAAGACATCCACATTTACCTTCAGCATCCAAGAGAAACCTGACTTCTCACTGACAACCAATAGACCTGGAATATCCTTTTCAGGCTTCAAAATGAGGGTTGGAGACCCTGGATTGCCCATGGTACATCACAAATTTAAAATGTGTTTTGGAGTGCTATGTTTTTGTGTTGCCTTCTTGTAAATTTTGTAATTTTACTTATATTCCAAGCAATCAAACTTTCAAACACTGAATGACCCTTCAACAGCAGGTTCACCTACAGTTCTGCAAACAGTGTGACTCTCTAAAATGTGCCTTCCATACTGAAAGCTAATTCTGCAATTCCAGAGGGAAGAGACACTAAAGATTACATCATAGATTATAACACTTCCTTTCTCTCTACACCAATGGTATGGCTGAACATACTTTAGCTATCACCATATTTTAATGACATTTCACATTCAGAAGGACTCAAAAATAATTATACACAAGAACCAGACAATCCCAAGTTGTGTGTGCACGCACGCACATACAATCCACTGATGTGCTGGTTAACTTTTATTATTAAAGATACGATTGCTAAACGTGTTCTGGTCTTAAATTATCCTGCCTTTTGATACGTGGCACATATCACAGCATCTCTTTTTTAATCTAGGAATGTAACAATAAAAGCTGCTTAATTCCACATGTAAATGAATCCTCCTCCTGTAAAGGTCACAGACATTGTTAGCCCAAGGGAGTAGAACTAAGGTTTCCTGAGAGCTACTCCCAGCTCAAACATTTAAATAGTTGGGGGCATTTTTTGATCACACTATAGCTGGATAGGAGGTCACCATAACACCTGATAAAAAATACAAAAAACCTGAAATCCAGTCCCCATGGACCAGAGAAAAAGAGAAGCATCTGTATGTGTACACTTACACGTTCAAGGAACTTCAGATACCATGGTAATGGATGCTATATAAAAGACCTAGATTAGATAGGTAAATCCCTGAGATTTAGGCCTTCAAAATCCACTATATCCCCAGATCCGTCCCACCAGAGGAGGCAGTGCACTGCTGCAGGGATACTCAGCAACCAACACCTCCGGAAGAAGAGTGAGCTAATCTTAAGTGAGGTTTAGGGTAATACCTGTCAATCAGCTTTTAAATTAAGTC